ATATAATCATTTTCCAAGGTGTGTGTGTGTGTAAAATCTCTGGCACGAAAATCCTGTTTTGCATTAGTGGAACAGAACGACATTTCATGTTTTAAGGCAGAGATGTGCAATAGAATTTTGTGTGAAGCTCAGAAAAAGCGGTGAAGAGACTTTAAAGGTGTTACAGAATGTGTATGGAACAGAAACAATGAGCCGAGCTACAATGTTTCAGGTGTTGAAACATTTTAAAAATGGAAACAAAAGGGTGGTTGATGGTGCTCGAAGAGGGAGATTAAGCACTATCATCTGGAAAAGTGATGCTGATATTATATTTTGACCCAAAAGGCACTATTCTTCCACAATGGCTACCTCAGAAGCAAACTTTGAATGGTGTTTACTATGGATATATACTTGAAACTTATTTGGGGAATGCACTTCAGAAAGGAGTGGTCAGAGTTCTTGAAGAAAAGGTGGTGTCTGCTTCAAGGCAATGCAGGACCACATATTGCACATGTGGCCAGGGCTGCTGGGTCGGTAAAAATGCTTTGTAACTTTCGCTCTGGCGCCTTAAGAATGCAAACTGTCTACAAATCACCGGATTTCTGCAATAACCATTGTACGTGTATTTAAGTATATGTTATAAGTCTAAAAATTAGCCTGATGATCCATGTGGTGGTGATGAAATCTCTTGTGGTACCATTTACAATTTTAGTAGGTTTTCCATCGTTAATACATATTGAGCTTTAATGAAGGGGCCAGAGTCGGAGGCTTCAATACTGACTCCACAGCCCTGTATGTTGCTACGGAGGCACTACAAGACATCGATGGACCACCTGTAGAACACGCACCCTACAGTTCAGACCTTGCTCCATTTGATTTTTGAGCATTTCCAGCGCTTGAACATGCCACTGAAGTTAAACGAGCTACCGCTGCTGCCCTACACAAGATGTCGAAATGGGCTACTGCACGTGTTTGAGAAGTTGGTGAGAAGCTGCAAAAGATGTATAGCATGTGAAGGCTGTAAACTTTGGCAGAGAAAGTGCCCAAGCCTCAGGAATCTTCAGATTGTGGGTAATGCGAGTAGTCGCATTACTTTTCAAACTCCCCTCGTTAGGGGGGAAGATGTGTGCTGTTGGTTTGGTTTTGGGCGCAGTATATGTGGTGTTTCTCTAATAGTTTAAACATCTTTCTTTAGTGACTTTTTATTATTTCCAAGATTCTTCTGTGGGGCCATAGTATTCTTCTGTATTAGGGATATGATGTGCATTACCTGATGATCACCATTGTTCCATATTGAACATACATGTTCTTTAAACCCCTCTTGAAGTGTATGATCTCTTTGTGCTATATAATTAGTGTGCAGTCTCTACAGTTTAGTTTATTTGCCACCTCCATTATCAATTTTTTTTGTGATTTAGGTTTTTGGTGGTTTTTAAAACATATCAGTGGTTTGCAAAGCTATTTTTATCAGCATTTTTTTTAATTTTGTTATATGCCATGTTTGTTTGCATGTTTATACAACCATTTATCTTTATGTCCTTTGTTTGTTTATTTGTGCTATTATGTTGTTTTTATGTTGATGTTATGTGTTTACTGTTAAATTTCTTCCAAATTATATTTGTATTATTTTTTTGGTTATTTGCCAAGTGGAATTTAATTTCTTACTTTCTTTCTTAATTTTATGATGGATATGTTTGTTATTTGATTGAATAGGTAATTGTCGCTGTTTTGTGCTCTGTAGAATGACGACATGTTTGATGTACAGTCATACTTATTAGAGATGGCTTTCAGTATGTGTTAGTTAATTGATCTTGTAATGCGAATGTGTGGTTTTTCTTTTGAGGCAGGTATTGACTGAATTATTATGTTTTTTTGACGACTTCAGCTGTAAAGGGTTAAGGGAAGAACATTCGTTGATGCTTTTTGACAGTTGGGGTACAGAGCACATTATTTGGAACAATGAAGGAAATAATGAGGACTGGAGAAGACGCTTAATGTGGAG